GGCACTACGGAAAGTAAAGTGTTGGAGTAATTTATCTCTATTATTGTAATATTATTTGAAGAGATTATAAATCAAACAAAAGAAAAACGAATGCCCCATAGAAGTTCAAGTAAGTAAAAGAAGTATAGTTTGGGACATGGGGCTTGTCAACTTATGCCTCAGAGTGACGGGCGCAGTGGCGGTGCCCTCAAATCTTTGCGATTTAAATCTCTGAGTGCCACTGCAACTGTTATGGACAGGCGTGTAGCTTACCATCACGCACTACTAGTTCTTCCCGTCACTTGGTATTATAAAAAAACAAAGGTCAAGAACACGTCCGGCTTGACACTGAAGACCGATTCAGAAGATAAGCGTTAGAGGCGGATTTTGCTAACGCGCGTTTATAACTACTCGTATTTTATAAGCGTCGTGCTGTCGTGTTAACCTTACTGTAGGCGTTCACAAGCTGCGGGCGATCGGAGCGAGGACTCCGTTCGCCAGTAAGTTTGGCAGCCGCGAGGAGGACGTCGGGGCGGTATGGCCCGTTTCGTCGTGAGGAGGGGAGAGGGAGGACGTAGCTCCTCTCAGGTGCTGGGGAGGTTCCGGTGCGCTAAGTCGATCCTGGATCCCTCCTACTAGAGCACCCGAGAAGGCCACCGTGGGGTTTTAGCCGGTAGGAGTCTCTCCTCTCCGCTGCCTCCGCGGCAGAGAGGTATCCTAGGAGGATTTCCCCACGAAAAAAAAGGTGTTCATATGCTAAGCCGCGTGTAATTTAAGCAAACGCGCGTTAGCAAAACTTGCGCCAATTGCGCGTTTAACACTTGTGATCTGAACGGTTACCTATCAGTAGGCCGAAATGACATTTACCAGAAATAACGTTTGGTCGAATTTTCATAACCTCGAAAGTAATTTTGAGGGGAAAATGTTTTTTCTTTTAAACCTAACTTAACCTAACCTAGCCGAACCTAATCGTGGCTTTGCGATAAACATTCAACATATCCTGAAAGAACAACTGTTTCGTTGTAATTCGGTTTTGGGTGTAATGAAAATTCGAACAAACGTTATTTGGAAAAAAAGTTTTTTATTATTATTATTGTAAGTCAACACGAGAAAACAACAAATATATCGGTGACCTAAATCGAACACGAATAACGAACTTAACAAAGGCTGTAAGTAGACGGCTATTGTTTAGTATATTACACTAACGTTCATGTAATAACAGTTAGTTGATGCCTTGAATAAATATTGAGGGTTAAAATAGTCTCGAAAAGCTAAGTATGACGCAATGACTTGTAATAAGTATTTCCAGAATTACCTAAAAATCGTGGTTGCCATCCGCCTGGATTTGTTCTTCTGTCTGAATTTTGTCCAGATTTAGCGTTTGTCCGGATTTTTCGGTTTTGGCTAACAGTTTCCAGAATACAAAGTAAAATGTCCACCTCGCAATTCTGTCGTAACACTCGATTTACGACACAAATTTTGTTGCCCGGGCTCTCCATCTTTGCTGCCGCGTGGGAGAGACTTTCGTTTCGATTTGGTTACTATAAAGTCTGGACTTTCTTCCAAATGTCAGATTTTTTGTCTGGACTGCTAATTTCGGAATGGTAACCCTAATTAAAGACCCTCTACTTGAACATTAAGAACTAAGAAAATGTTTACACATTATGTAATTTATAAATAGGTAACTGTATACCATGTACTAAGGCTGTAGCCAATCGCGCTCTATCGTCGACCTCATCTTGATTTAATGGTCTTGATTATGATTAAGAGTTATTTATTTTGTGCTATATTTTTGTAGCGGTAAAGCTCCTTGTGAAAGAGTTCGTCCAGGGAAGTACTGCCAGATTACCTGTTTCTGCTACCAATCAGTAATGTGACCAGTACTGCGTTACAGTTTTGAAGGGTAAGGGTGCTGGTGAAATTACAGGTGCATTGGACTTGTCAACTTACGTCTCAGACCTTTGTGATGTAAAGCTCTGAGTGACACTGCAAGTATTATGGATAGGGGAGGCGCTTACCACCAGGAGCACGACTTATTCGTCCCGTCACTTGGTAACATAAAAATATCATAAATAAATCAAGAAGCGTTGCGCTTTATTTATATGGCGAACGGCTACGGAGTGGAATTCCCCGCTTGCAGACTTGTTGCCTGAACGTTATAACTTAGGCCTTTTTTAAGGCGAGAGTGAATAGGCATTATTTAGGTGTGCATGCTCCATCGTCGACTTCAACGTCAATTTCCATCAGGTGAGATGGAGGTCAAATGCGCACTTATCTTTTATAAAAACATCATTTTTTTTTTCACATTATTTTGAATATCATGTTGTTTACCGTGGTAGTTTCCATGTTGTTGTCATGATGTTTATACATTATTTTGTGAAAATACTCCAATAGAAAGATCTGCAACAAGCACATAGAGAAATATGCTGATTCGATCTGTTGCTCAGTTGGTAAGTGCGGTGGCCCAGTTGTGGCAACAGACGCTGGTTCGAGTCCACTCAAATCGAAGGATTTTTTTTCTGTGTTGTTCGATCTTTATATCAATAGTCATAAACTTGTTCGATTTTAATAATTCTTTTTCAATTTACGTATACATCCACTTTACTCGTCTTCGATATGTGAAGTGGACTGTATCTCGTACCACCAATATGTTTGAATCAGTGAAAGTCTTTTATATCCTCATATTGAAAGAGAGCAATGCGGATGTGGGGCCCATATAACAGGACTTTTCACAGTGGCCAATGACGCACAACGAAATGGTGCGAAAACTGCCTATTGAAAGGCTCGTGGCATGAAGGGATTGGTTAGGATGGGCTCGTGGGAAAAGCCAGGACCCCGCAGCGTGTTGCGACACTTTGCGACATCTATGTGTCATCAATGAAATGGGCTATTTATTAGTTTGGGATAGTCCGGCTTTGTTGTGGCATTTATTGACAAATAGTTTTATTGGTGTGGGAAAATGTTTTATTGAATTAGGTAGGACTTTGTTTCTATTATATAAGAGGTTGTTTATGACACTCCATGGGTAAAAGCTCCTTAAGGCCGCTTTTGAATTACACTTACTTATGGAGGATGGATACTTGATATGCATACGTTGTTAAAGCGCAAGAAGTAACGAATGAAAAATTATAAGTTTTGCTATATATTACGACACAAACTGACAATTTTTGAGATAATGCAAGGCATAATTTTTAACAATAAATTTTGAGTTTGTGTAATTCTATCTGTAGCTTACCACATAGGTAATGACTTACTACTGTAAATGCTACTGCGTTACGGAGGCAATAAGCAGAAATAGCTCAAAACTAGCCTTACTACCAGGCGGATCTCCCTACAGCATAAGGCCAACCACCGTTAAAACTATGACTATGACTAAATCCAGTTGCACTGTATTCAGTAGCAGTAGAGCTCCTTCTCCCTGTGAATTCGTCCAGGGAAGTTCTGCCCCTTGCGGAAATATATTTTGGGGAAATCCTTGCTTTCTACAAGACTTGTTTGTTCAAAATCTCATAATACATGACAGCAGCTTTTGTATTTTGCGTCTGTGACGTTCCTGACGTGCGGCAACTTCAGAGTGTTACGCGAGATTGAGCTCAGGTGGGCTAGTTAGTTCTCTGTTAGCAAGTCACGTTTGAAGCATTAATCCATTTTGAACCAGTAGTAATTAGTAGCCGTAGAGTTCTTTTTGTGAAAGAGTTTATCCAGGGAGGTACTGCCACGTTACCTATTTCTGCTACGAAGCAGTAATGTGAGCATTACTCCGTTTCAGTTTGAAAGGGTAAGGGTGTTGGTGAAATTACAGGCACATGGGACTAGTAGGACATAGGACTAGACTAGTCAACTTATGTCTCAGGGTGACGAGCGCAGTGGCTACCCTTAAAATCTTTGCGATTTAAGGCTCTGAGTGGCAGTGCAACTTTTATGGATAGGCGTCCCACTTACCACCAGACGTACGTCTTGGTCGTCCCGTCACTTGGTGTTATAAAAAAAATGTCTATTTTTGCACTCCCTTAAATGTGTTTTTTTGGGAATGCGTAGTTATGACTATGTACAGTTTGGTTAACATAACGTATAACATAGTTAAACAAAAACATTGTATTGTATGGAATGACGAGCATAGTAATATTATACGAAGAAGTAGCTACAGGAAGCTATTGCTCAGAAATGTCTCGCCATTTTTATTGTACACGCATGTAAAATATTATTAAATTGTTTAATTTCTTGATATCTAAAAAGAGTAATTTTCTCGTTAGATGTCTCTACCAGATTCCCGAGGCAATTTTTATTATTTGTATATTCTAGAATATTATCATCAAGTATTATTCAATATCGAGTGCAGTATCATGAAATATTAATCAATATTTCACAATAATATACCATTATTGCCACCGAAATTACATAGAGAAAACAAACATGAAAATTACCCAAATCTAACTTAGTTTTATAACGGAATCAGAGTAAATAAATCCTTGTTTATTACTAACAACAGTGTCAACTGTAAGTGCACGTGCCAACACGCAGTTGCATAATGCAGTCACACAAGGCTGCGCCGGCGCCGCCCTCGCCTCGTTTCAATTAATGATCGTCATTATAATGAACGCTGGTTATGAGGACACGGTGGCTAGCGAGGTTATTCGCATATGATTTAAAAACTGTACCCTTCCTTTAAATGCGACGTATTCGAAGCATAACTAGATTCAATGAGATTGAGTCGTTGCTTAACATGTGGTCCTTTATCATTGTATCGAAGAAATAACTTTGTTTCAAATTCGAATAAGCACTTACATACACAATTGCTTCAGATACCTACGTAGTAAAATAATCGGTGAGGTCATTCCACTAAAGCTAAAATACGTAACATTTATCGAAGTACTGGAATATTATTTCTAATTGATACAATTCTATTATGTATTCACCGTCTGTACAATTTCACCACGACAAATATTTTCATGAAAATGTCTAAATGTCTAAATGTTCGTAACTCTATTCAGCTACGCACCGAACGAAGGCAGTAAACTTACTTGGGCTTTCCTGCAAGGCGGCTTCTACGAATCGTAGCGCGTCCCGTAGCACTCACAGTCCAAAAGGCACTAACACCAAATTTTTATTTCGGTGTTTCCCAATGAAGGTTTTCTTTACACTAGTGTTTAAAAAATCGACACGCGTTCACCACCGGACAGCCAAAACTAAATTGTGTTCATTTCAACTCCATAATTCAGTTAAATCACATCATGGGGGGGACGACAATGGGAGAGCATCGATGTGAGCGAATCACACCATCGCTACGCATGGCTAATTTTCCATAGTGACCCGTGTTTGCCCAGAGCGGTTGCCGAACTAGAATTATAATACTTTATGAGTAGGTATTGTTGGAAATGAGTGCGAGTGAACTTTGTATCTGATATTAGTTATAACGAACTTCTGAATACATCGGTTAGACAGATAGACATCTATTTCTCACGTTTATCTCTCATTTATAAAGTAACTTTAAAGTTTTATCTAATAACAGGACTACGAAACCTAGTGCTCTTTGTGACAACAAACAGAACCGATTACAAATTATTATTTACTCATTTAAAGCTCCAATCACTATATGGGCTTGTTCATTATTGAATGAAGTAAACTATTGTTTAATAGATCAAGTACTAAATATTAATATTGCAGGTAGGAACATAATTCATTTTATTTCACAAAACATTTGCGAAACAAAAAGTAGATTAGAATGCGTGCCCGCATTGTTAAAATAGATATACAGCTATATATCTAAATTCGATGTTTATGAACTGGCACGTTTAAATACCAGTAACACTTTTGAAAATCGGATATATTTCCTAATATTGCGAAAGCAAATACCAACTGGCATCTACCAAGCAAAAGGATACATTCGTCATTCAGTGACCCCAAACGCGCTTTTCCGGAAGCGGAGCACAATGGCGACGGCAGAGCAGGCAAGCGCGCAGGCGTGTACGCAGCATCCAACATGGCCGCTACAACCAGACGCCATATTGCCGCGCTAATGCACTCTACAAATGATTAATATCAAACGGGTTGTTCCTTATTTTCCTCATTGTTTTCTTAACTGGAATTCTTTTGTACAATTTACATGGAACACGTTAGGTTTCACACTCTCCAAACACTGACAGCATTAGGCTGCCACGAGATATTTCTGTCTTATGTGGTGTCTACCAATAAGACATACATATATTTTACTCATATGTACACTCTACCGTACAAGTACGTAATTCTAGTATGTCACAAACCTAAGCAATCAAGATGGCGACATTTCCCCAATAATAACTTATATTACTATTATCATCTGACTGCTGTATCTAGTTATATAATATTAAATATCATAATGTTTTCTCTACCATTATTGCGGGGAATATGTACGCAATAACCATCCTATATCTATGGTAGTATCTACCAATCAACAGAGTTTCCTTTTTATGTATGTATCATGTTTGCTCGTACCACATCGCCGGCACAGTTCCTAGTATTACAAATGTAACCCTGACCATTGATATGTAATGTACTTGAATTTTTTTTCGTATTTGGTAGCAGTAGAGCTCCTTGTAAAAGACTTCGTCCACGAAAGTATTACCTATTTATGTCGCCAAGCAGTAATGTGAGGATTTCACTCGTATTTTTCACCTCAACGACGCGGTATACTGCCCTGTATCCACTACCAGCTTAACTAGGAGTAACCCTTACCTGCCAATGAATTAATTATGGTATCACTCAGCCCACGACCTTGCGACAGGTTACCTCACACGGTCACAGCTTACCTCATCAGCCATCAGCTCTGATTCAAAACTCTGATAACCGGTCACATCGGTTCAGAGAACGCGCAAAATGAGCTAATTTACCGAAAAACAATAGAAGGCGGATTTTCCGACGTATGGATATCTGCATGTCAATCGAAATTTTGTTCATGTATTTGTTCCAAATTTCCTGAACCTATAGTTGCATATGTATATGTATCTACTTAATACTTAGATGTTGTACCTAGATGGAATAAATGTAAAACAAAAAGATCCAATCCAATGTGCAATACTTAATTTTTTGTCATAACTAACGTAATCGACATTTTTATTGAAATTGAGTTTATAACATATCTCATTCAGCGAAACAAGCGAGCAGGCTCGTCGTTCAGGGAAGTACTGCCACCATATCTATTTCTGGTACCAAGCAGTAAGTAGTGTGAGCATTAATGCGTTCCGGTTTTGAAGGGCACGGGTGCTGGTGAAATTACAGGTACATGGGACTTGTCAATTTATGTCTGAGCATGACGGGCGCAGTGGCAGTGCGCCACAGATCTTTGTAATTTAAAGCTCTGAGCGGTAGGTACTGCAACTGCCATGGACAGGCGTGTCGCTTACCATCAGGCGTACGACTTGTTCGTCCCGTCGCTTAGTTGTTATAAGAAAAAAAAAAGCACGGCAGTATTTTGATCCAGAACTGAACCATATCGACCGCGTCACTGGTAGCCGCCATTAAATCCTCAAGCATGCAGGTATTAGGGCACGCAGGGTATGGTGTGTGATGGGCCATCGTTTGAATCGAACCGCACAAAGCTATTTCATATAGTAAGCCTTGAAAACCGTAGGGATAGATTAGGTCTGATTTTCTTTACAAGTTACTACGAAACCAAATTGATTGTCCTACACTACTAAGCCAAATAAGATTTAGAGTGCCTCATAGATTTACCCCCGATACTTTATCCAACCACTTTGCACACCTTCGAAGAACCAAAATTGGTACGAATATACATGACGTCCAACTATTTATACATATAAGTTACAAATTCTCTATATGGGTGAGTTCGAACATTTTGTTGTATAAACGTAGGTAGTTATTAGTATTTGTTTCTAATAATATTGTACAGTTAAGTTAAATGTTATAAGATACTTTGCCATTTTTTTTGGCATGAGATATTTACCTGTATTTAAAACCACAAATTATTGTACCTAGGTAATAAGTCACATTGTAATAGTTGTTGGTAAACAAAATAAATTAAAAAAAAAAACAAATCAGGTTAGAACCATCTGAAAATCCACATGTAATAATATAATAATAACACACACACTCAACATAGCCCCGCACCAGGGAAACCCTGTGTCGCGGGTGCCATGGACACACACATAGACAACCACAAATAATAATAATAATAATAAATTTATTCAATTTAAACATACAGCACTTAAACTAGTTGACTACAATAAGGTACAATTCGATTGTATGGGCAAACAAAAGTTGAACCATCATAACCTATTCTACGTACAAAACCTGTGTTAATAGTGTTACGAAGATTCTCCGTTTTGGCAAAATCAGAAAAGAAAACAATCTTTGAACTGCGGCTAAAACTGAAATAGTGTAGTGCAGTGCCGTGAATCTAGTGAGTAGCAATAGCAGTAATAAAAAGTAAGTAGAAAGTATGTGTAAGTGTGTGTGTGAATGTGCGAGTGTGTCAGTGTGTGTGTGTGTGAAAGTGTGTGTGTGAAATGAAATGGAGTAGAGTGCACTTAAATAGCATTTATATAGATAGATAAATATAATAAATAGATAAATAAAATTTAAGTATGGATGTCTATTTATGATAATATAACCAGGAGTTCTTCCGTCTTCTCATAAGATAATTTCTGTAACCATTTTCTTAGTATATATCCAACTTCATACTTGTTTAATGCATATATTTGATGGGATTTATTAATTTTATTATATAATCTAGTACTTAGTGCAGTTAATTGTCCGTTAGCAAAGGCAGTACGGCATCGCTTGGTATCACAGATAGGGAAACCTTGTTGTCTACCAAGAGCAATTTTATCTAGGGGTAGATTTGAATGACGATGTAAGACACATTTTAGTATAAATGACTGCCTCACCGTGAGCACCTGGGCTTCGGAATATAACTCATCAGTGGAGTAATCTCTTGGTTTGAATAAATAAACAAATTTGAATAAATAAATGACACCCAAACTCACGAGAGAAATAAATGTAGGCCATACATATTTCTCCCGGCCCGGGAATCAAACCTGGGGCCTCTGCGTGGCAGTCCGGCCGGCATGGTCACCGTTCGGCCACGGAGGCAGTTAAACCTTAGTCACATTAGTAAATAAAACCTGTTTTTGTAACAAATAACAGTAATCAAAATTTGTGGAGAAATAAATTATAATTATGTCGAAAACTGTGCTAGACTCAGTCTATTCATGTTGAAATTTAATTAATTTCATTTCAATTTTGGATCGGATTGCTGCCTCCGTGGCAGCAATCCGATCGGCTAGTCTGGAAATCTTTGGGGGAGGCCTATATTCAGCAGTGGACGTCTTCTGGCATATATGACGATGATGATGATGAATATTATCATATTTTTCACAAGTAAATAGAAATGCTACACTTTTGTACTGCGATCTTGTAAAAATAGCTGTAAGTACTAAATAAATAAATAAGAAGTAAGATTTTTAAACAGTCTAAAGTATGAATCATAAATAGATGTCCAAAATGTAAACAAAGAAATTTCATTGCCAAAGTGTGAATGCAGGCGTCCTAAACCTTCTATTTTTAACGAAATTGGGAGGAGGATCTCCATTCTCTATTACAAAATATAGGGTCTTTCAACAAGAACTTTGTTTTTTAAAACAAAATAAAACAAAAAAATTAGATGAAGATGATTCAAATTTTTATTGTATTACAAAGAGAAAAGTTCGGCAATTATGAATGAAAAATGATATCTGGCAAATGTCCACCACGACCACGCTGACAGAAGTCGATTCTTTCATCAAAATTTTTAATCACTTTTTGGCAAAATGTCGGGTCTATTTCGGCTATCACATCACGGATTTTGAGTTTTAAGGCTGTAGTCGATTCGATTGGCTCCGTATAGACTCTGTCCTTAAGATAGCCCCACAAAAAATAATCCAGTGGTGTTAAATCACACGATCTGGCTGGCCATTTAACAGCTGAATTTCGGGAAATTACGCGATCAGCAAATTTGGTTTGCAATAAATTGATCGTCTCATTGGCTGTGTGACATATGGCACCGTCTTGTTGAAACCACATGTCAGTGATATCCATGTCATCAATGCTAGGCCAAAATTGAGTTGTTAACATCTCGCGATAGCGTGATC